GACAAACTGTAAGCACTACGGCTTGTGTTAAGGGATGCTAGGGTAACGTATAGAATACATATCCTGTACATATATTTGTATATTTATATAGAAATACATATTAAACATCCATGACTGAAGTACAAATGCTCGTATTCATTACGCAAACATCTGCCCCCGTCGGGATTCGAACCCGGGACCTCTCGAGTCGACGACACCATAAAACCCGGCATACAAACCACTCGGCCACGGAGGTCATCCGTCCTATTGGTTCTTTTTAATACCAAAATAGCCACAAACTTATTTTAACTATGAAAAACCTTAGAATCGAGTTAAAATGATTTACAACCTACCTAATAACCAGAACGACCATTTTTTTATTCCTATTATTGTATGGCTTTGCACGGTCTTTGCATTTAAGCCAGTTTTATAAATTATAGTAAAAGGTTAGGAAACGTAAGGGAAAAAGAAGTAAGTATTAGGAGCAGGAGGGTATAAATATATTATTACAAGACTAAGTTTAAAAAAAACGTTTAAAGGAATTAATAATTTACATATTTAGAAAAGTATACATTAAACATATACACAAGTTTTACTTATATTTTAATATTATTGTGGATGATGAAATCAGTAAGGCAACTATATACCGATGGCTTATTAGTGGACAATAAGGTAGGCACAGAGGTAGGGAAAGGAATATTGAGGGACACAAAATCAATAAAAAGGAAGGAAAAATCGTATTTCAAACAAACAAAGAATATGTTGGTCAGTGCATTCACCCGGATTGCGAAGGGTGCGGGTTCGAGTCCCGTCCGCTGCCTGGTCCGCGTAGATTTTTTTTCTAGTAAAACTTTCCTTTAGATTTAAACATCTAGCAGTTAAATGCTTAAAAAATAAATAAAAAAACATAGAATATGTGGTTGAGAAAACAACATAATTTTCCATTTTTGTGGCAGCTCCAACTCGCGGTACGGAACGATCCAACGTCGTAGCAGTCGCACTTGAATTAGTTTTAAGCAAGCCTAAGGCGCTTTGCAGACGACGGGGCGGGGCGGGCCGGTCAATTTCGCCGCGAATAATAGCACAAAATGAATCCTATACTTCAAACGCACACAGAGGGCAAAAAAACCGCGCCGCAGGTGCCCGGCGGGCACTGGCGGCGCGGCATGTCCGCGGCTGCCCGCCGTGGATCATACAAACCAATTTATATGCAGTAACGCAGACGGGCGGCGGCGCGGGGCGGTCAGCTCAGTCCGCGCCACGATTCACTAGAACGAACGTCCTTAACTGACCGCCTCTGCCCGTCGTGTGCTTTGTGTACGCGGCGCGGGCAGCCGCAAACATCGACGGACAGACGCGGTCTTTATTGCTTCGCGGACAAAATGCCCGCCCCGCCCCGTCGTCTGCTCAACGCCTAAGGGTACGGCCAGAGTGCACTCAGATTCAGATTCAGACTCAGAAAACAAGCGCGAGAAATAAACAAAGTAGTCTAAGCAGGTTGCCTGCTGCCATTATGGCCACACTGCTTTAACTACACTGTTTATATCTCGCGCTTGTTTTCGGAGTCTGAATCTGAATCTGAGTGCACTCTGGCCGTACCCATACACGCTTGGGTATACCTGACAGGATTACCTGTACAGTTCAACTGCACTAGTAAACTTGAGTTTAGTAGAGACCATACACGTAGCGGTAAACCTGCACTAACTTTCAATTGAAACCATGACCCCGGCAGCAGCGCTTGATTTCAACTCAGTTGCGTTTTTAGGTTATATTGCTTTTAATTTAAACGAAGACACCGTGAACAGTGCAGCAAAGCAATTGTCACTGCAAAGAATTTTACTGAGTCAATTGAAATTTAAGCCAACAGATCACCGCAATTATCTACGAATGGATGAAAATCAATATGAAAATACGTATCTTGAACTGTTAACAGCAGTGACTCCAAAGAGTTTATGCGCCAAAAACAATACTCCGATTTATAGATTTCTATAAACTCCTCCAGGACCTAGTTCCGAAACAACATTTTGTACTTATACAGTAGAGCGCCGCGCGTCCATCCCCTCTAAGTCCAGTGCACGCAGATTCAGAATCAGATTCAGACTCAGAAAACAAGCGCGAGAAATATACAGTGTAGTTTAGGCAGGGTTTCCATAGTGGCAGCAGGCATTGTGGGTTACATACAATGCGAAGAGATAGCGCTGCCTTGCAGCTTAAGAATGGCTAGAAGAATTTCGACGCGGTCCGTGAGGGCCGCGGTAGCATAATTGGTCAGTGCATTCGCCCGGATTGCGAAGGGTGCGGGTTCGAGTCCCGTCTGCTGCCTGGTCCGCGTGGATTTTTTTCTAGTTATATTTTCTTTAGAAGAAAATACTTGTTACGTATAAAGAAATTTATTGTTTACATATATATATATATTAATGTCTTAATATTAAGTATGAGGTTCATAATATATATTTATCATCCGCCCGGATAGCGGACAACGCAGATTTGAGTCCTGCCTGAGAAACCTTGACAGAGCTGTTTTTTTTTCTAGAAAAAAATCTGAATATTTATATAAATTACACATCACGTTGTTTGCCCAGGATGGATTCCTAAACTACTTAACCGATTTTAATAAAATTTACACACCGTGCAGTTTGATCCAACTTGAAAGATAGGATATATTACATCTCAATTTATAGTCTCACCTCACAGCGGACCAGCTTAATAAGCTTCAGCAACTTCAAAACTTTTGTATTCGCTTCATATTTGGCTTGCGCAAATATGGTCACGTTTCCCAATAATTTCGTTCGCAGCTCAAAATGGCACTTCTCTACAGCATAGTGTTCTATAGCTATACTAAGCCCCCGCGCGCGCTATCTCATGGTAGGTTATCATTTCCTTCACGCTTCTAACAAGAAAATTTTGTCCTAATGACTCCTGTACACGGTACAACTTTTTACAGTCATTCATTTGCAGTTCGAGCTGTTCATCTGTGGAATTATCTCCCAGTTTCGATATGACTTGCGGAATTTCACGTTTTTATGAATGTCATGAAGTCACATTATTTGTCTTTGTCACATTTTTGTTTTATAATCTCTGTAGTGATTTCTATCTAGATTTGTGTATGTATTCTTATTATTTAGTGAAAATCCTTAATTTAGGATGCAACTTGAAATGAAAATATAATAAAACAATAAAATTAGATGCCTTCACAGAAGTTATAGGTACTTCTGTGAACTGCGCAGAATGGTTGAGCCTCAAACACAATTCAAAAGAGAACTAAAATCCACTACATATAAAACAATGTTCAGGTCTTCCTCTTCGCTGCTCACTTTTTCAGATGCGAAGTTTTGTTAAATCTTTGTTTACTGAACATTGCTAAAGTCGCAGCCGACGGGAAATGTTTTGAACAAACAATGTTCAAGAACAATGTTTGTTCAAAACATTGCGCAGCAACAGTGTTGCCACCTTGGCGGTTTTTCCACCAGAACTGGTGCTTTTTCACGGCTTCTAGTGGTATATTTTCATGATCTAGCGGGTATATTTTTTTTAGTGTTAATTAGTGGTTTTTTAACATGAAATCTAGCAACATATTTTTAAGGGGGAAATCCCCTGACTTTCCGGAATTTCATAATGTTCTATGCTTACTCTGTGACAGGGGAATTCCTACACGCGTTTGGGTACGGCCAGAGTGCACTCAGATTCAGATTCAGACTCAGAAAACAAGCGCGAGAAATATACAGTGTAGTTTAAGCAGGTTGCCTGCGGCTACTATGGCCACCCTGCTTTAATTACACTGTTTATTTCTCGCGCTTGTTTTCGGAATCTGAATCTGAATCTGAATCTGAGTGCACTCTGGCCGTACCCTTAGTCTGTAAAGGGCTTCCTTTAATCGTTCATTCTGTTTCAGAAATTAGGTTCACATTCATTGTGTTGTTAAAAGGTGTAAACGTTTGATTTGATAGAAACAAACGTTTCTATCAAATCAACATTAACAGTGTGTGAACTCCTGAAGCTGTATGTTTAGAGTATTCAATTATATGTTATTATGGAAATTCTATTCAAGAATAAGAATTACTTACAAAAGTACAGAAAAGAATGGGAATCACTCGACGAATTCCAAACCTGGCTTAAACCTTTAGCAGGTGTTTTGTTCATTTTGTAAAACAGAATTATTAGCAAAAGTAGTAAATTTGAGAAGATATGCTGAAACAAAAAAGTACAAACAAAAAATGCAAATTCTATCCAGCAATCAAACGATATCGATATTTATTTTCTTGATTATAAAGAATGAATGTAAATACATATTTACCTGGTTTTATTTCATTCTCTAGTACTACTAAGGTAACGCTCGGAAAAGTTATAAGTTAGTAAAAATAATATTGCCATTTTTGACGTGACAACGTCTTAAATTAGGTTGCGGCTGGGAGTCACTTATGAAAAAGTGTAACGCTCGGTAACGTTACGATGAGTCTCTCGTGTTAAGTTTAAGTTTACATGTACAATGTTTTAGTAAACAAAATATATTTCTATAGTTAAAATTTGTGTAATTCTTATTTTCATTCAATTCCTTGTTCCTATTGTGCAATTTAATTATATTCATATCAATAAATATTCTACCGAGAAAAAGACGTTGTCACGTAAAATCTTCGCCCGTAAAACCGACTTTACAGGCAACCATTTTTTTTTTCAAATAACTAAATTTTACTAATTTAGAACGACTGCGGGATTCAGTTATTTCTGTAGGATTTCATACATATTCACTGGTTTTTATTTAAATTAGGGTTTTTTGTTGTCTGAGATGTAATTGTAATTTAGCGGATTTTGGTGTATTTTATTAAATCCAAATTTTTGAAATCTGGCGATATTTTACCTTTGTCTTGGCGCCTTAAAAAAATCCAAGGTGGCAGCACTGCGCAGCAGACGCAGACTTATAGCGTGTGTGTTTTGATACCATATCCCTTACTGCAATGCAGTATCGTGAAAGGGCCTCTTTAATTTTATGATCTTTTTTATCTATAGGCTTGTATGTATAATTTTTAGTATGGCAACACAGACACTTACAATTTCTTGATTACCTAAATGTTGGAATAATGTTTGATTTGCCCTGGTTAGAAATATAGAATTACAAACATAATGTTTCTGTGAGTATTTACTTGTATTTTTAAACAGAGAAGCATTAATTTATATGAAAATTGTAATTCTGCTGTTCCGTTGGGAGTGTCGTGTAGATGCGCTGACCTTCGTTTGGATGCACAACGCACAACAAAGCATCAAATTGACGGCTGCCCCATTTCCACAACAAAATTAGTATTTGGTATTGGTTTATGAGAAGTGAAAAAGTATTAGAAATGGTGAAAATTAACAAATATCTAAAGCAACTATAATGATGTACGTGTTCATGGTCGACACGTAGAAAGTATACGGCAATGGAGAAACAACTACGACAACGAAAACCATTTCCGATGATGTGTTTTACTGTCCACCAGCAAAGACTTTATTTTCTTCTAGGAGAGAACTAGCGCTCTAGGAGATATAAATATTGGTTATTTACTATTATAATTATCAACATGAATGAAAGGGATATACCAAGTGTCCCTATTACAACATTAGCAGGTGTAGCCAGCTTGACAGACTGTAAGTACTTTTCATTTATTTACATATTTTTTTACATTTGATATACTAAATCTTTATATTTTGTATTTGCAAGTTTCTAAAAAGATATAAAATTATCTAATTTTGTGTTTAACTTACATCTACTTCGTCATCAAAATACAAATTATGTCAAAGTACCACAGTCATTAAAAAATATATTATTCATTTTTCAATAACCAGAAAAAATATCTGTCTAGAAAAAGTAATGAAAAAATAGGATATGCTTTTTTTAATAGGTTTTTCAAATTTATATTAAGGTGAAAGGTCAACAACCTCATACGTTTATAATACACAACCACCAAAAACTTTGTACATTATGAATAGGAATTAAAACTGATTAATATTTTAAGTTTATTTGGTATTTTATTTGGTAATATAATACCAACAAAGTTATGCAATCTTTTTTTTTTACATTTGTTAGGTATACATTTTTTTACCCGACTGCCAAAGAGGGAGGGTAATGTTTAGGGAGTGTATGTAAGTATGTATGTATGTCTGTTCCTTTGTGACCTCCTGTAGCCTAAACGGCTTGATGGATTTTGATGTATGAGGTATCGTTAGATTTGTCTTGATTACGGGAGTGTCATAGGATACATTTTATCCTAAAAGTCCCACGGGATAAAGACATAATAATATTTTTTCTAAATTTCCCTTTAAAAAAATATGTATGCGGTATCATTAGATTCATTTTTAGACTGTCTTAAGGTACTTAATAATTCCCGCGATATTAATTCCCTTACTGAAGTAACAAGACTACGGTATATACCGTCTTAAAATACTAACTAACTAAAAAGTGTGAAATAAAAAAGGTAAATTTAAAAAATCAAAAAACCCGACTGCTTAATTATACTTCAAATAAAAACTGAAAAGAAAAAAACAAGTCCAGTAGTCTATAATTCTGTTAATAAGGAACAAAGCTACTTTAACAGTCGGGACCCACTGTTGAAAAATATTATGTATTCTTGAATATCTAATGGGTCCCGACTGTTAAAGTAGCTTTGTTCCTTATTAACAGAATTATAGACTACTGGACTTGTTTTTTTCTTTTCAGTTTTTATTTGAAGTATAATTAAGCAGTCGGGTTTTTTGATTTTTTAAATTTACCTTTTTTATTTACTATTTAACCACACCATAAATATTATAGTAATTGGCAGAATTGCTCCATGTATCTTGTTTACCAAGTTAGTAATCATGAAATTTTAAAAAAATAAACCTTAAATATTGTTATAAGAAGTGTGTACTGACTGTCTTATGACTTTCTATTCCCTCTGCCTACCCCACCTGGGACTAACTCTGAAGATATACTGTTATTATATATTAATATTCATTCCTGTTATATGATTGGGTTTAAAAATTATGAAGCTACACTTTGAGAAACAGTGTAAGCTAACAAGCTATAGCGCAGTGTTGTGCACATAGTATTCTTTATAAAAAAATATCAATAACAAGATTGATTCATGTCGGTTACAAAAGCAAGTTTCTAGGTACTGTAAATCATCCTTCATTCAATTCACTTCTTAGGTTACTTCTTGTAATGTAAATTATGCTATGATCATCTACGATCTTCAAATCTTTACAGCTTTGATTAATGTTTTCATGAGAAAAGTGGTTGAATTGAAATCATGACACATCATTATTTTGATCATCATCAATACTGAAACAGTATTGCATTTTACTGATTTTATTGTAGTTACCATTAGTATTGTAGGTTAATTTGTTTAATTTAAATTTTTTTAATCAAACTAGCTGCTGACTGCAAATTTGTCAGCATTTACTCTCTCTAATACATGACGCATTTATAATGGTGTTGAATTTTTTATATACAAATTGAAGTCTAGGGTAGGATTGTGTTACAGTTTAAGGCAATAGTCTGCACAAGCTAAACTATGATCAGCTTTCCATTATATTTAATTGAGTTGCAAGCTGAAATTTTTGTCACGCAAAGTATTAAAGTATTAAAAACACGTACACGAAATCTTTTTAGGCGGAAACGAATAGAACTCGAGAAAAAAAATATTGAAAATTAATATTTTTGTAGGTTATGAGTCAATTTTGATCAGTGCTGCCATTTTTTTATGCAAAAATAACATGTTTCTCGTTGTCTATGGTAAATATAAGTTAATAATTAATATTATATTAATAAATAATATTATGTTGGTACTATTGTCAAAATGTGACAATTTACCGCCATTAATGAGATCTGTCAGTCAGTGTTTGTGTTCGTCCCAGTTGAGAGCTTTTTCGTACTCCTGTTGATATTAACATCGTCTGACATCCTTCATGGCATGGCATCCTCAAAGCCTTCGGCCTCGAGTGCTGCTGTCCCTTCGCCTGAAGAGTCGAGTGTAGTGCGAGTGTTGGGCTCTAATGAGCCGCTTGTGTGGTGATACTTCACACTAGGTTAGGTTAGTGTTGTGACCTTAACGCGCGAGCCGAGCGAGCGAAGCGAGCGTGCCGCGGCAGCGGCCGGCGAAGCGCCAGAAAGAAAAATTCGTTAATAGAGACTTTTTCTACAAAATTCATCATTTCTGTAAAAAAAACGCCGGGAGGGGGGGGGGGTTACCCTTCCCTCTGAGGGGTTTTCCCTAATACCTATCCCCCTGAAATTCCACTACATTTAACAGATTTAATGAATTTTTAGGTTAGGCAAAAAAAACTGCATTTCCGCCAAAAATCTTTATTTTTTTATTTATGTCGGGGGGAGCCCCCCTCTCCCCCCCTACAAATTACCCCGAAATTCAATTACATATAATGGAATTAAGTACCCTATGATACATCAATGATATTAAAAGTGTTAGAAAAAAATTTGATTTCCTGCTTTACAAAATTAACGAAAAAAGAGCAAGAATCAACTGAAAGTAATATTTTGAAAAGCACTAAGGTTTGGGTAAAAATAATATTGTTAAAAGTATTTGTACAGAAAATGTAAATTTCTAATTTTTTTTGATTCAAGTAGAATAATGATCGCCTAATATTATATGTGACTGTTTCTCTACTAATTGGAAACTGTCCTATACAACACTGTCCCAAACATATTTTTTGCTAAACCTTAAGAAAATATTTAAATACAAAGATTGGAATGTTAAATGGAAAGGTTCCGGTTTCAACAGATGGCAATATTAGCATTAAGCTAATTTGGGACCGATGTGTGACATTTGTTTTTTTTTAATTTATTGTTTATATTATTATATTTTAGTTTTTGTCTCAAAATTATTTCTTTCTTTCTAAATGAAACATGTGTGTGAACAAAAAGCTCACATCTTTTCCTCTTTATTTTTCATGAATATGGATATTCGGAATATTTCTATATTCCAATATTCTGAATACTTCAAGGGACTGTTTTTTAACCCAGGGAAATGTTTATATGACAGAAAAAAACACATTGAAAGAAAAGTGTTGAAAAAAAATGCAAAAACCATTTAAGGGTTCCGTTTTAAAAAAAGTTGTTATGAGTCACATGAACCTGAAGTTGGTTGCAGCTTAACAAAGTGCACATTGGACTCACAAACTCGGACATAATAAATCCGTTATACTACATTTTGAAAACTTAGTTAAAAACAAATTATAAAGCCAACACATTAATTAGCCTAGCCCCAAAATAAGCACTGTAGGCTCTTGTTATGGGATACTAGGGTATGGATTGAATACATATACTGATAAATATAGAAGAATAGTTATTTAGAAATACATATTAAATATCCATGACTGGAGTACAAATGTTCGTATTCATCACACAAACATCTGCCCCCACCAGGATTCGAACCTGGGACCTCTCGAGTAGGCGATATATGAAAGAAAAAAACATATTTTCATCGAATATGAGTAGTGTATGTCTTTCCTTTTATTTATTACTTTTAAAATCTTTGTATGAATAAGGTAATCAACAGTTGAATAAATAAAACATATGATAAAAAAAATATGACCAGCTTCTCATCTCAATTTGAGTAATATTTTTAAAATCAGTCAGACTATGGAATCAGTAAAATAATACTCACTCTTTACAAAAACAAGAATTTGTTCTATCTTATCTCAGAATTAAAATTTTTCCTTGACATAAGTAATTATTTTTTTTTATTTCAATAGTAACTACATACTTATATATAGATTGTGATAAAAGTCCCTCATATCGTCTCATCATATCACCTTGAGGGCTTGCAATCTAAATCTAAAGAACAGTGTTGAAAAAAAAAATCAGTTAAAACAAAAAAAATAAAATAACACCTAGCCCAGCCCCAAAGTAAGCACTGTAGGCTTATGTTATGGGACACTAGAGTACCGTTAAATTACATATACTGGTAAATATATAAGTATAGTTATTTAGAAATATATTTAAAACATCCATCGTACTAACCACTCGGCCACAAAGGTTGTCAGTTACTAAAATGTATTTCTTAAATAATAAGACATTATAATTAGAGATGGGCCGACTAGTCGGGAAAGACAACTATTTGGCATCGTTTGTAGTCGACAAAACATGCAGATTAGAATCAGCACATAAAAAAATTAGGTAACATAATAGGATTTAGGAACTTCGGAATCTGTCAGTAATTCAGTTGACATAATTACTATGGCACTTAACAAAATAGCAATGGGAAGTGAGTATTAATCTTAAGTGCTAACAAGTCCTTTTTTTATTTTATTTATTTATTTCCCATATAACCTATAAGTTTCAGATACATATCTATCGCCAAACTGTTTTCACTGTTTGTAGGCGTTGCGCTTATTACCCTTTTATAGCTATCAATTAAACTCTATGTTACCATCTTAATCTGTGGGAGCAAGCGATTCCTTTTTGTCAAAACGAACAGTTGAAATGAAAATGTACCTAACTAAAACACGTCACCACTTGCTCAACGCCTGCACAATGGCTCGTGTCGTGCGTTCACAACCCGAGTAGTGACGAAATATTCCGAACACTATCCTAAGATAGGTTAGGACTAGTCGGCAATTTAAAAATTTCGGTCATTCGGTTCGGTTAGTCG